TCAGGACGGTGGTGAGCTGGTCTCTTTATATAAACCAGGCTCTTTGGCTTTGTTTCTGAGTACAGTGCTGGCTGTGGATGGAACGGGGAACATGTTCACCTCTGCTGTTAAGGAGCCTGTTCTGTTGGGATGATCTGGGCAACACTGGGTGCCAAGGTTCACACAATGGCATACTTCAGTGTGAACTTCTCTGCTTCCATGTAAATTTCTGTCCTGTGAATTAATTCATATGTGCAGGCAAGTGGGAGCAGGATGTTTGCTTTGCTTCATATATGATTTTGCCTGGGCAGAATCGGCGACAGGAGTTGGGGGGCGGGTGACATACTCTTCTGCAGGAAAGGAAAAGGGCCTGTTTGACTTCCAGGGAAGAAGAGGATAGAAACTGTGCCTGACACCCCTTCCTTAGAAAACTGCATCCCATCCTGTGCACCCCAGCCTGCTTTCATCCCCAGCACCACTACAGTGTCCTGGTTTGGAGCTCCTCTTACAGCTATACCAGACTGGTCTCTCTCTGATCCCCAGTCAGCTTATTTGCTATTATTCAGATATGCACTCTGGCAGCCACTAGCCCCGCTGGACTGCCCGCTCAGTTGACCCTAATAATCTTGAGAGTACCCTAGTTACAAAACTGTGTTATGAGTGGTATGCCCTAACCCATGTTCACCTATGTCCTGTGTGTGTGTGTGTGTGTGTGTGTGTGTGTGTGTGTGTGTAGAGAACATGAAGTTTTTGATGGATGTATGTACTTAGCAGCAAGCTTGGTGTCTCATATCGTATTCCCACCATTCAGAAGGGTGAGGGGAAAAAAGTGGCCCTAGGTTTGAGGCTGACGTGGGCTACATATTGAGTTCCAAGACAGCCTGGACAGATTGAGATTCTGTCTCAAAAAAAAAAAAAAAGATATACATTGTCTTACAACAGAAATGTCTGCATTTACTGAGGAGTGGAGCTTATGGACAAGACTAAATATGAAGAGCCCTCAACAGCTAAGAAGCAGTATAGTTCTCAGCATGTAGTCACTTAGCAGTGTGCATTTAGGAAATGCTCTGTTGTGCTCAGGAATGAACTCAGGGTCTCATAGATGGTAGTCCCAGTCTAGCCCCCAGCCATGGAAAGTGCTATGTAAATCTGTGTTGTAAGTCACAGCTGTGGCTGGGAGGCGGGCTCCAGCGCCACTGTTTATGAGAGGGCTCAGGCTACTATGTTGCTGTCAAGGGGCTCTGAGCTGGAAGCATCCTGAGAGCTAGGACTGTGACCTGGTTTAAGCCCCAGAACCCTGTCCCAGTAGGCCAGCACTGGTTGTGCAGCCCTTGGCCAGTCCCCAGCCCTTCATTAGGTAATCAGCAATCACATTGCTCTATTGTTGATTCTTCTGTCTGGCTGCTTCCACCAATCCCTTAGCTAATGAACTTTATAAGGAGGACCTGAACACAGCTCTGCACAGCAGAGAGCTACAACTATTTGCCAGAGTCTGCTTTCCCAGGACAGCTCTTTAACGTGGACTGTTTTCCAATGGCCTTAGGTGACCGCCGTGAAAGGGTCATCCATCCCTGGGGGGATCCCGACCCACAGGTTGAGAACCTCTGCACTAGAGAGTGGTAGAGGTTGTTCAAGTCCTGATCCTCCTGATTCCTGTGTGCTGCTTGCAGAACAGAGGCTCCAGGACTTGGCAAGCAGCTCTCATGCTAAAGCATTTGATGCATGGCTGGGTGACAGAAGAAGGGAAACTGGGACTTGTGATATGAGCATTGAAGGGCTAGAGGTCCCTAGACAGCAAACAACCACTTTGGTCAGCGGCAGCCATCAATTTGGTGGGCTTTGTGTTGCTGTGATTTAGTGGTAGTGGGCAAATCGTTTGCGTTCCGAGCCTTGTTTCTCATAGTGACAGCCAGGGTTAGCAGCCCCTTCCCATGAGGCTTGGTTAGTGGGAGGTGCGAGTTTCAGGGTGTAATGTGCCCGAGGAGGCGGGGCTTGTGTGCTGTGCTGCTGGGATTTGTCTGGAGAGAGGAGCACTTGTCTCAGCTTGGTGTCTCTCATACCTGGCTCCCTGGATCTTTGCTGTCCTACTATTGATATTGTCTGTGGACATTTGATGAGTCACTCACTCCGCTTGAGTGCTCCAGTCTGTCCCTTCAGCTCTCAGTGTTCCTCTCCCTCCTTCTCAGATCCCACTTCCCTGGTCCCAGCCTGCACCCTGTCAAATGCAAAGTGGCACCACCATCAAGGTCCTGTTTGCCTGGCAAGCTCTCCTCATCTCTCCCGGGGTGACAGACAAAGTCCTGTGTCCTAGCTGCCGCCCCCTTCCTCAGCTTTGTGAACTGACAATTCTCAAGAAGACACAGCCCATGTCACCACCATCCAGCCTTTGCTCTTAAACCAGCCTTTTTATCCTTTCTTCTGCCAGGACTCAGGTAGCATCCCTTCACACAGCCCTGCATCCTTCTGACTGCTCAGCCGTCTCTGATGGCCTGTTCTTTCTTTTTGGGAAGGAGGCTGCTGGGGATAGCCTCATATCACTTATATTAACCTCAAACTCCTGGTCTTCCTGTCCCCACCTCCTGCGTGCTAGGATTACAGGCATGCCACCACACCCACGCCCTGGTCAGTCTTTCTTCATCTTCTCTATAGGTCACCATCACTAGTTACTAACATCCACTCTTCTCATGACAGCCCTTAATCATCTGTTTCAGTGAATGTTAGGATATTGGGGAAAACCCCCTGAAAACCATGCATCATCCCTGATTCTTCCCCATCCTCCATCTAATCCATCTTCAAGGCCTGTGGATTTTTTTCCAGTATCCATTGCATCATCCAGGCTGAATCCTGGTCCCAGAGAGCATCTTCTTGAGTTTTGAAATAGTTTCCTAGCTGCTCTCTCTGTGTCCTCATGCATCCCTAAAACTCAGTTGCTGTGACCCAGTGACTTCTACAACATGAATCCATCTTCAAGGCCTGTTGATTTTTTTTTCCCAGTATCCATTACATCATCCAGGCTGAATCCTGGTCCCAGAGAGCATCTTCTTGAGTTTTGAAATAGTTTCCTAGCTGCTCTATCTGTGTCTTCATGCATCCCTAAAACTCAGTTGCTGAGACCCAGTGACTTCTACAACATGAGCACTCCTTGGCTTGCAAGTCTTCCATGGCCTCGAGTCTGTAATGAAAGCCCATATGAGTGCCATTTGCCATTCGGAATCTCCTTGCTGGCCAGGGTTCTCCTCCCTCTCATCCACAAGCTTCTACTGAGAGGTCTTCCATGATGTCCTAGACTGAAGCTTTCCTTGTTTGTACCTTAGCAATCACTGACCAGAGAACGGAAGTCTAGGACTTGCTTACCCCACAGCCAGTCCACCAAGGCTGGCCTGGGTTCAGCTGAACTATTAATATGGCTGAGTTCAGGGTAGAGCTGTAGTGCAGGCTACCTGACGGACAGGATTCTGAGTGGTTAGCCGTTGTGGAGGCATTGTTACCTTGCAGAGACTAACTGTGCTATTGACGGCCCTGGTGAGGCACTGGCAAGGAAAAACATTTTTCAGAGAGTTTCATCACTGGCCAAGAAAAATGCAGTGAGCAGCTGAGCTCAGCAGGCCATCCTCTAGTAAAGGCCCTGCAACTGAGCTGCCTGCTGCTGAGAGGAAGCGGCAAAGCCGAATGGTTATTATGTATGAGCCAAGTCTCAGTGGGCTTCCTCTGCAGATTGGACTGCTTGTCCTGCCTGCCCAGGCAACAGCATCGAGTATTCCTAGTATATAGTTGCTACAAATCTACTACTAACAGGTATCAAATGAGGGATGTTTTCATGATGGCTGACTATAGCTGAGCTGTGGTGGTTCATGCCTTTAATCCCAGCACTCAGGAGGCAGAGACAAGTAGATTTCTTGAGTTTGGGGCCAGCTTGGTCTACAGAGTGAGTTCCAGGACAGCCAGGGTTACACAGAGAAACCCTGTCTCGCAAAGCCAAAAACAAGAACGGACTATATATTGGGGACTATATACTGGACACTGTGCTAGGCCCTGGGATACCAGTTCATTAAGATATGGTCTGTCCTTAGGTGGCTGTCATTCTAGTTGAGGGAAAAATGTATGTAACAAATTAAGGACCAGTTATCGATGTTGATTTCCCAAGCTTCAGCAAACTCTCCTGCCGGTGGCTTTCTGTAGATGAGGCACTAACACAGTTTCTGTTCTAGAGTCCGCAGAGAATTCAGCAGTGCCCCTGCCCAGAGTATGACGAAGGCCATTTTCCTTTTGTGAGATAAGGTTTTGCTTTGTGGCCTCAGCCTCCTGATTGGAGGGCCACAGGTGTGCACCCATCATAACCAGTCCTAAAACAAACTTCTGGTGTTAAGAGAAGTGGTTCTTGTCAAAAGCCACAGGCAGAGTCAGCTGAGCCCAGGGGACTCCTTGTGAGTCAGGTTTCACATGCACGTTTCCTCACTATTTGTTAGTGACATCTTCCCTTAGTGATGGCGGTCCTTTACCATTAGAGCACGGACATGTTCTACACACTGGCATATCTCAACTACTCCTTCCAGGAGGCCTGCAATTACCAAGTACAGAGGCTATTCAAAAGGGTCTCTAAGATGTCTGTACCTTTGTCACTGAACAGAAACAAGTACTGAGTCAAGAATGAGGGTTTTTGTTTTGGTGTTTTTTTTTTTTTTTTTTTTTTATTGTTTTTCAAGACAAGGTTTCTCTGTGTAGCTCTGGCTGTCTTAGGCTCTGTAGACCAGGATGGCCTTTGCCTCTGCCTCCTGAGTGCTGGGATAAAAGGCGTGTGCCACCATGCCTGGCTAAGAATGACAGTCTCTCTGAGCTTCCTGCAGCAAAGCTGCTGACACTTGCCCCTGTGTCTGTGTTAAGTAATGGCCATGGTGCCCCAGAAGATGGACCTTCAAGCCAGGTGAGCTAAAAGGCCATGGGACACCAGCAGGGTGGGACTTTGGGCTCTGCTTCAGGAATACTGTAACATGACCGATAACAGATGATATTCTCTTTAACAGGTATAAAAGTTTGGTCACTGGGAGCAGAGCAAGAGGGATCATTGCTCTCCTCTGGGTCCTTGCCTTTGGCATTGGATTGACTCCGTTCCTGGGTTGGAATAGTAAAGACAAAGCCACCAGCAACTGCACAGGATCTGGGGATGGAAGCGTGAATAAGAGCTGCTGTCCTGTCAAGTGTCTCTTTGAGAATGTGGTCCCCATGAGCTACATGGTGTATTTCAACTTCTTTGGGTGTGTCCTTCCTCCACTGCTCATAATGATGGTGATCTACATCAAAATCTTCATGGTGGCCTGTAAGCAGCTCCAGCGCATGGAGCTGATGGACCACTCAAGGACCACTCTGCAGCGAGAGATCCATGCAGCCAAGTCACTGGCCATGATCGTAGGCATTTTTGCTCTTTGCTGGCTACCAGTACACGCCATCAACTGTGTCACTCTTTTCCATCCAGCTCTTGCCAAGGATAAGCCCAAGTGGCTAATGAATGTTGCCATCCTCCTGTCGCATGCCAACTCAGTCGTCAACCCCATTGTATATGCCTACAGGAACCGAGACTTCCGCTACACTTTCCACAGAATCATCTCCAGTTATGTTCTCTGCCAGACAGACACCAAAGGTGGGAGCGGGCAGGCTGGGGCACAGTCTGCTCTCAGTCTGGGCTTATGACCTCGGCTCTGGCCTTTTGGAGAAGGCTTAAAACAAACAATGGGACTCCACACAACTGGCTGGTTCTCACTGTGAAAGGCAGCTGCACCTCCCAAGCAAATGAGCTGCTCTTCTGAGTCCGACCTGGAGTTACACAACTTTAGCTAATATGCATATGCAATCGGTAGGCTCCAAGGTTAAATGCACCTATGAATCTATTCAGCTGCTCTGTGTGGATGATGACAGTGGCTTGAACTGATTCCCAAAGATGTTTTATTTTTAAGAATCTGCCTTATTCATGGTAGAAAATGACTAAAACTTACCTTACTGTGAAACACTGTGAACTATTATAATAAAAGTATTTTTCACTTAAAGCAATGGAAAAATAAAAGTTGGCTATACTATTGTATACTTCTTCCTAGGACTGCAACCCTGAAAACTAAACTATAATTCTTCAATTAAGATACTGTTGTATTAATTTAGAAAATTATATTCTCCTAAGTTTTGAAATAGAATTATAATTTTAAAAAACAATTTTAAGTTCAGTGTTTTCCATGTACACAAAATACGAGATAGAAGCCGGAGAAATGGGTTCCTCCTCAACTGGAATCCTGCTTCTTGACAGAGGTTCTGACTGGGTTTGCTTCTCTCCCAAGTTAAGATTTACTGGAACCAGCCAGGCAGTGATGGCGCACACCTTTAATCCCAGCACTCGGGAGGCAGAGGCAGGAGGATCTCTGTGAGTTTGAGGCCAGCCTGGTCTACAAGAGTTAGTTCCAGGACAGGCTCCAAAGCTACAGAGAAACCCTGTCTCGAAAAAACAAAAAAAGAAAAAAGAAAAAAAAGATTTATTGGAACCCACAGTGTGAAATTTTCCTAAGGAAAATAGCTAATGTTGCATTATATTCAGCGAAATAAAACTTGGTAAAAACACGTTCAAGGCCCTGCACTGGCTTGCTGTACACAGTGTGCTGTCTGCACTGACCCTGAAGGCTGCCGAAAGAGGACGCTCATACTGAGTCCAGGGCTCTCGACTAGTAAAGAAATCTTGGCTTTTTCTTTGCTACAACTCAACATGATGCTCAGCCAACCCTCTGGTTCTCTAAGTGCAGCATGTGCTTGGCTTTTTATTCAGCAGCTGTTCACTGACTGTGTTTGGGGGCACAACAATGCGGAGGGGCTGTCCCTAGGCTGTGAAGTCACTTACTCCATTTGTCTACTTCAGGTCCTAACAGGACGAGTGCTTAGAGAGGCAGGGAGTTCCCAGCCCTTTAGGACCTTCTGGCTGCCGTGGCTTTACCTCTTAAGTCCTTTTCCCGGGCTACAATCTGCTTCCTCTTGGTGGTTATTTTCTCATCCTTCCTTTGCTCTCTGGGTCTGTCTCATCTCTTCTCTCCAGTACCACTCCTGCAACCTACTTTGTCTTTCTTTCCATGTGAAATTCCTAGTAGGATCTAGTTTCCTTCCAGAGCTTTAGTATGTTCCTTATCATGCTATAAAAAGCCCAATAATGCTCACAGAGCAAACCCAGCTCTCCCTGTTCTCCACACAGATGAGCGTAGCAGAAGATCCCTCATCTTCTCACACTCGCTGTCTTTTAGCTGCCTGTCTGCTCTCGTCCTTTTGTGAGGATTAATGTTCTCATTTATGCTTGCTCCTATTCAGTTTGGTCCACCATCCCGCCTTTACAGTCACTAGCACTTTAGTAACACGAGCTAGCTGCAGACACAACATGGTATCTGGCTTTATTTGAGCCAACAATACTGAATTGTACCCAGGGACATTTCTACTTGTGAGGTTCAGAGGCTGGTTCTTATTAGGATCATACTTAACCACACACGAACCCTCTGCAACCTACAGCGCCAATCCAAAGCCCATCCTGCAGCCTATGAGGGCAAAGTGACAGTAACAAGTCGGGAAGCGTATCTTATTTCTCCACCTTGAGAACCATGAAGTGTTGAATGAGTTTCCTGATGGCTTCTGTCTTGAAGATGTTGCTCCGGCACCTTTATGCCTCTTGTGTGTTCTCCATCAATAGCAGGTCCGTCAGTTGCTTGTCTGACACACTGAGCTGCCGGCAGTTTCTCATAACCTGACTAAGATAAATTGCCAGGAGATGCTTACACTGGAATACAAAACACAAACTTGTTAGGAACAGGCAGGATCATGTCTGACCAGTCTAATCAAACCTCTCACTATCACATGCAAGGAGGAGAGTGAGACTCTGCCATACTTTCAGCTGGTTTCGTCCTCGCCTTCAGCTAGTTAAGCGCGGCTGACAGTCCTTGAGGCACTGCACTGCTAGGCCTTCCTCACAAGGGAGCTCATGCAAATCTGATAACTATCCAGCAGGTTCAAACTTCATTGTAGCGAGCATGCAGAGCCTGTACTCACTTTAATCATTGTTGTCTTCTGGGGTGGGGAAGGCGCATAGGGAAAATTCTCACACACACACAAATGTGTGGAGATGACCCTATTAGACCTGTGTCACAGAACACAGCACTGGATCCTGGGAGGACCATGTTCAATCCTGTCATACAGGTGAAATATACCACATTCATGGCTAGTGGGGTGTATGAATGGAGATGCTCAATTTGGCACCAAACTCTCAAGAAGTTTAGTTAATATAAAAAGAGAAAGGGGGGGCCTTGAGAGACGGCTCAGTGGTTAAGAGCACTGACTATTCTTCCAGAGGACCGGGGTTCAATTCTGAGCACCCACATGGTGATTCACAACTGTCTGTAACTCCAAGATCTGACACCCTGACACAGAAATACATGCAGGCAAAATACCAATGCAAAGAAAATAAAAATAATCATTATAAAAAAATCTTTAAAAAATAAAAAAGGTAAGAAATGAGGCAAACCTGACTGTTCGCTACTCTGGCCAGACTAAGGACTAACCACCTTCTCTCAGCAGAGGAGGGTACTGCATCTCTTTCCCTTTGGAACAAGCAGTATGCAGACATGCTGTCCTTACTTGATGTCTGGACTCTGTGGACTCACAAAGATGCAGAGATGTAGATGGAGGTGTTCCTGCTCCATAGGATGAGTGTGAGGCCAAAGCCATCTTTACAAGCAGTGGGATGAGGTGTGTGCACCTTTTATTTAGCTCTCTCTTTACTGGGCTGTCTACTTCCCCAACACTCATTTCCAGGATTACCTTACTGTCCCCACAACCTCCTCTACAACCTTAAAAAAAAAAAAAACCAGGAATCTGGTGAAGTACCAAATGTGGTACTGAATTCTAGGAGGCTGAATTCAAGAGGTGACTAAGACAAGGATAATAAACCACAATTTCTCCAATATTGAGGGAAATACCCATTCCATATAACCCCTCCCCAAAAATGTATGTAGCACTTAAAGTCTGAAATGACGCTGGCCTTTTCTCTCCCAACTTGGTGGCAGTGGCAAGAGCCCATTTTTTTTAAAGTTTTGTTTATTATATATTCAGTGTTCTGTATGCATGCATGCATGCCTACAGACTAGAAGAGGGCATCAGATCTCATTCTCGATGGTTGCGAGCCACCATGTGGTTGCTCTTAACCTCTAAGCCGTCTCTCCAGCCCAAGAGCCCATTCTTACCAGCAGACTGTCACTCTTTCGTAACACTGAGAAGGCAAACGCTGGACATGAACAGTAATGACAGGAAGCCAGACATGTGTATGTTTTGCCAGAACTCCCAACTACCTGGGAAGAAGAAGACGGACAGGGTTAGAAGGTTTGCTCATGGTACAGGTTCCTGATGATCTATTCAGTGCCCAAGAGTTGCTGATGGACATCACTGTGAAGAACTGCAGTGGAGTTTATACAAAAGGGAAAACACAAGTTTTCTTTCAGCACTCTAGGACTTCAGGTGGTGGAAGGGTTTCAGGCTAATTCAGCCTTCCACACAGCCTCTTGTTCTCTGTGATGCACAGGTCTCAGCCTGTAGGGACTAAACAGGACTGGAGAAAAGCTCGTGTGCATTTTCCTGCGGGGCCCTTCAGTAGTACGAGGCTGCACGCATGGACCTTTCTAACGCTGCTGTTACATTCCCAGAGAGTGGAAAGGAGCAGCGTGCACAGGAGGCAGGAACACAGCGGCTCTCAGGTGAAGGAAGAAGAGAGGGTGTGAGAGGGGAGAGGGATGACTCAGCAGCTCAGGATGGAGGTCTCAGGGAAGGAGGCAAGTTCAGATCTGCCTGTTCATCCAGCGGGATGGAAGAAGGACACAGACGTGGGTGTTGGTGAGAGGCCCAGTACAAATACTCTTGGTGACAGTCAAAAGGAACACAAAGGAAACGTAAAAGGAAAACAAGATTTGCCTGTGGTGTGATTGGACCAGTTTGTGGAGAAACCACTCTACCACCAAGTAGCTAAGCATTTCCTGTTGGCAGCTTGCTATGGTTTGGATTTTGAATGTCCCCCAAAGGCACAAGTGTTAAAAGCTTGATTGCTATCTCCTGGTGCGTAAGGGAAGTGGTAGAACCTTTAGGAGGCAGGGCACAGTTAGACCGGGTTAGGCTGCTGCGGGCATGCCACTGCAAGAGATCCTGGGATCCCAACCTTCCTGTCTTTGCTTCCTGGCTGCCAGGTGAAGAGGCCTTTTCAGCCTCCTGTTCCTGCAATAATATACGGTAACGTACTGTGCTGCCCTAGGCCAGTACAACAGGGCCCAGCAGCTGTGGATGGGAACCTCTGAAAGTGCTAGCCAATAGAAACCCATTCTCCTTCACTGTGACTTACGCCAGATACTCATTATAGTGATGAACACCAGTTAACACAGGCTACATCTGAGTTAGCTCCCAAATGAAGTAGATCATCACCATCAAAGGGAGGTAAAAACATTTCAATTACTCTACAGTAGACTGTCATATCTGAATTTGCCACAAGGCTTTCAAATTAAATTTAGGCTTTAAGACGGCAATCTAAATGAAAAAGTCAGGATTTGTTAAGATTATAATGTAAGCATTCCCAGGATCCTCTGCCCCAACCTGAGACCAAGTAACAGGTAAGGCCTTAATTAGAAGAAATAATAGGTTCAAGTGCTGTGCTTGTTTGTCTGTTAATGTTTAATGTGATACAGCTTTTCTGGTAATTTGTTGACTAAGCAGAATTCTATGGGGGATTTGAGATGACTAGGAATGTCCTTCTACCACACCTAGACATAGTTTAAATCAGGTATTAAAAACTAAACCTTACACACTTCCTATTCCAAGGTTTGCTGTCTTATGAACGTGACACCAACAGCACTGAGCACCAACAGTTTCCCTAGTGAGTCTAGAAAGAATGAACGGACATTAAAGCCAACTGCTTCCCACTTCACCCTCAAGAAAACTCACCCACATTCAGCACTGACATGGTAGACATCGGCTCTCCAGACTACCAAAGAATGTACCTTTAATGTTCCTTCTTTTCTCTCTAGATTTAGACTCAAACATGTAAAGCCTCCAGGACTCTCCAGGATTATGTTGAACCAAAGCCTGGTGATTTAGGGACAGGGATAAATTCTACAGAGGTCCCCTTGCCTTATGCTTTCAAAAGGCTGCCTGAGATTCAAAGTAAACTGGCCAAATTCCTGGGGCAGTAGAAACTCTAAAGACAGTAAGTGCTTTAATTTGCTTCCTCCTTATCTAGCAGTTGACAACGAATGAACCCGACAATCGGGCAAAAATCTGAGTTAGAAATGTTTAGAACTGGAAATTGACCTGAGGGGTAATTTAATGTAATGTCTCCACTCTTGGGTGGAAGAAGGACCCTCTCTTACCGGAACTGCTCCGAGTTCTTCCACTCACAGCATAGGCTGGAATGTGCCCCCACTCACCCCTCCTTTCTCCACCCCTGCATGGAGATTTTTAAAAAGTAAACAGGAAAGAACACACTCAAGACCAGGACTGGACTCTCAGGAGTCTCCCTGGCAGGAGGAAGTCTGTAGTGACCCCATCATCATTCAGTCAGAGCAACCACCTTATAACCACCTCAGGCCCTGTAGCCACTGCATTTGGGAAGCTGCATTTATTGTTTCCTGTGTTCGCTGTCTCTTTCTGGAAAAGGGATTTACTGTTCCTATCCTGATACAGACTGGCTGTGTGAGCTGTGGTAGCTCACAGAATGTGAGTAGCTGAGCAGAAATGTTAAAGACTGTAGCATGCCATGTTCCCCAGTGTCCTCTGAGCGGGCTGCTTCGGAACTGGGATCCCCGAGTGCAGATGTTTTAGGAGTTGAACTACAGTTGCCTCCTGTGGATACGCAGTAAGTTATACAACCTTGTTCTTCCTAAGTGAGCTGAAAGTGTCTAAAAGGCAGCTCAGGTGACAGCAAAAAAACAATGACTTCAAAAATAATTACACATTACACATGGAGGATGATGAAAATATCTGGGCTGACCTACGGAGTAAAAGTTGGCTCATGGAAAGGTTACTAGTTGGGCACCAAGGCAGCGTCTGCTTCAACTTCTATCACCTTTCAGAGCTGAGGAATGAACTCTGAGTCTTACTGTATGACTGCACAATGTACCATAGGATTGATGTGATGTCCGTCTGAGAGTTCTAGTCTCATTCAACTCAAGTCAAAGTTGAAGCTGACAGCTACACAGCTAGGAGTCTAT